GGGGGGGGGGGGAGCCAAAGACATAGGTAGGGAAAATGCCACTGATAAACCCAATTCAAATTTTTCCTTGAATATGTGAACTTCTGTAATTTTCAAATCATTTTTCACAACCGTTAAATACTTTTGAAACAACAGATCATCATTACATATTTAACAACTCTTTAGAACAAATTAACTTTCTGGTCACCAGAACAGACTGCTAACTAACCAACCTGTAGCATGGTCAAGCTTCGTTTGCACCTCAGGGCCAGAACATCTATTTCCATCTGACCCACTGTGTTCTTGAGTAAAAGCAAAAACTTTTTATGATCTTCTTTAAAAAAAAATTACATTTGAAGTGATTGCCACGAGTGATAGGAATTTCGGTGATTTCAAGCTATCAGGGATATCATTCTTTATGCCATGCAGTTTATTCTAGGACAGGTTTTGTATAAACCATGCAAAGTGAGGCAAACTTTCGCATTTTTAACATGATTCTTTTCTTCAAGAAGCATAAAATGCAAAATTGTGCAGTGGATGTTATGTAAGCTTTCAATTTCCCACGATACCTTAGTAATTCTACTGAAATAAGATCACAATTATTCATCAGAGTCAGTGGCAGGGCAAGGTAAGGGTATATAACATCAGTTAGTTAGAGCTATTGGATATATATTATTAGCTGTACAAGGTTTCACTGACACCACAATGTTCCTACTAAAGGTTCTATGACGTTTTTCTTGACATTTTCCCATTCATGTTGGGTGCTTGTATGTATAGCTTGCACTATTATCAAATGTAGTCGAATCCATTCCCATTCAAGGTGATTTTTTTACTTTCTATCATATCTTTTCTTTTCTCTTTAACCTATCATTATACCAAATCAACCAATTAAGTATAGTTTAATAATATTTCACCTAGTAAATTAAACACCCAATTGGCATGTGTTAACGCGCACACACACACACATACGCACAAAAGTTCATTGATATTATATTAAATTGAATATGAAGTTTTCTTTAATTTACAAGGGGCAATGGCTTAATGAATGAAGAAAAAATACAATATGGCCCTAAACTAAAAACTTGAATCAAAAGATTTTCAATTCCAAATTATCATAATAATTATTGTAAGCAGTCTACACTTCAAACTTTGCATTCAGATTCTTACTTCTGGTTGTGGACCTATGGTTTTATTAATTAGGTCTACTACCTAAAATACCTTGTATTTATGTGTCAAGTATGTTAAAGTTTGGTATAAAAGCCATTAGCTTGCCATCAGTTAACTTTGCAATCATTTATAGCAATAGCATCTCAACTCCCAGTCTCAAAAAAAAAAAAAAAAAAAAAAATCAAGCAATTTATTGCTGCATTGCCTCCATATTTGAAGTAATAAATGTTTTATTGCCATTCCTGTCAATTTTCCTTGCTCGATAGCCTGACACATAATCATCATCATCACTGCAGCAATAACAACACCATTATGAAGCCAATGCACCAAATACAATACAATAAAAGTTAAAACTACAACCCACTGTAAGCCGACTTATAACAGCAGCATTAACAGCATCAACATCATCACTTTCACTAAGACAATGCATCCAATACAACACAATACAAAAACCACATTACCACTGTACTATTATTGTTAATGTTACCTGACTGACTGCCTCAGCATGCCTGGTTTGCAGACTGTGCATCTCACCTTCCATGCGCGCCATCTGAGCCTGCCGCGTGTTAACCTAGATACATACAAAGACAGAGACATTGGGGTCTGCATGCACGCTACGGGTTACCCTTCTGGTCAACATGACCCTGTTGTCACCACAGCACCCCTTCATCTTTAAAGGGGGGGGATTTAGGGCATTAAGTTTATATACAAGTTGCTGTGCTATAAAATGTGTTGGAAATTTGGAAGGGAAAAAAATCAACAATGAACAGCATTTCTTGAGCTTGAAAACGTGTGAATAACAAATATTCCAATCTTGTTTTTGTTTCTTTTTTTTCTCACTGCCTTTTCACAAGAACTCAATTTTATTTCATTTATAAAAGTACTTCTTGGCGACCTGGATCATGTTCCCCGAGCGACAGAAATAGATAATAGAAATCTTCCACCAGAGAACAACAGCCTGATAACGGCATTCACTAACCCGAAGTATAAGTTGCCACATGCTCATCATGCTAACATGCAAATGTCAGTGCTCACATTATCAAACAAAACTACCACAATTAGTTAGTTGGATAATAGAAGTGAAAACAGGGGTGCAAGGGAGGGGGGGGGGTGGGGGGGGGGGGGGCATTGTCCAGATTGGCAGTTACATACAAACTGAAGGCACTGACAACAGGTTGATCAGTCACAAATATCAAAGTTCTTTCTAATGAATCAAATACAGTTTTCTTTAGAGCCCTGATTACACTCTTTTTATTTCAACGTCCTCCAAATTTAGAAAAAATATTTCAAATATCAGTGCAACAAACTGGCTTTCTCTTTCTAAATTTCCAAAATGTTATACTTTAAAAATGTCTACGTGAATAAAATGCTCAAGTTATATATCTTTCCGTTGACTTTTTAAAACAAACAATCAAAACAAAAATGTCAACATAAATGAGACTGTTGGTATGAAATCATTTTAATTGTGATTTTAGAAAAAAAATCATCCTGTCAGTGTCTCCCAGTATCTTCCAGGGAAATATAAACAAATAAAATTAAAAACAAATCTGTGCAACAATGAACAAAGAAAACATTATTTAAATGAAGGCAAATCACCTTGAAATAAAGCAAAATCGGTGCTTGGTGCATGATATAATATAAAAAACAGAGAAAAATTTACTGAAGTGTAACTAAACATAAGTATGTTTTATAACAAAAATAAATCCTTTTTCTGTGAAAAAAGCAAAAGCAATAATTATTTAGTTAACCAAAGCCATTTTTGAACATACAACAATATAAAACTAATTTATCAAACCACCAATTATACAATATATAGACCACACAAATTTACCAATCAATATATTTCTATCACGTGCACAACATACATTTGAAACAATCTTTCCACTTTTTATGCCACAGTGATAAACAATATCAATTGTTGGTTCATTTTTCATTTTTTTTGTACCAACCTCAGTGCGACTTTCATCTAGATATCTCTGTGTCGTGTCCAGCTCTTGTTCAAGATGGCGGATACGCATTTCACTGTGCTGGATCTAAAATATTCAGAAAGTCAGGTTTATTTAGTGGATGTGTAGAGACCGCTCGACAATGTATTTGGTTTGTTTACTTCTCTACTGATTACACTCTTTTTTTATAAAGCATATAAACAGCATATAAAGGATATCTGAAAAATCAATGGCATAAGATGTCATTCTTTTATCCAAAACATAAAAAGCACAGTAAGTTCCTTCTAATGATGTAATTCTAAAAGAAAGAATGTAGCATCTGTCCATATACAACATGCCATGATTTATTTTACAATGAAAAGATCAGTGAACAAAAATACATATATATATTTTTTTAATGTTATAAAAACAATATAATGCAAGTGACATAAGTGCAACACAGTGAAAAGTGGATCACATTGGCTGTGCATATCATTATTACAAATAAACTGATTATAGAATTAGTATATGTAATTAAACAAGCAATGGTGAATATCATCTATTCTGTAATCAGAATACCAGCACCCTGTCATGTTGGGTGACATTAGTATGAAGAGTACAAGCTTTTTCCATCACCATTAAATAAATTAAGTTTAAACAGGCAGGCTACAGAGCAGGATCCCCCCCCCCCCAAAAAAAAAAAAATAAATAAATAAATAAATAAATAAATAATTAAATAAAAATAAAAATGTCGAGCATAGAAAGACAACCTTAAATTAATTGAAAAGACAGGAAAGCTAGGACAAATGTGTGTGACCAAGGCTATGTCAAAGCAGTTATCAGAGCAATGATTTCGGGCTCATTCCCAATAGAACTATCATTCTATGTTGATCGATCCAACTTCACAGGAACTCTCGCTGAATGCAGTCAGATTAACAGACTGACAAGTCTTCTCTCGTTTCCAACATTCTCAAATAGTCCCCAGCTTTTCTGCATTTTACTCAAAGCCAGAAGGAGGCTTTTTAATCTGTTTATCAGATTTCATTCGACAAGAGTTCCCGCAGAGTTGGATCAATCTAGGAAGAACGATAGCTTCATTGGGAATGAGCCTTGAGATATCACTGGAAAGTTGGCCTGTGTACTTCAGGTTGCTGAGGTTTCGAGTGTTTAGTGGGCAAAGAGGCAGGTAAACAGAGCATGAATGAGGACATGATGTGCACATGCGGACCTCTAATTATAAAGTGCTCTAGTTGATACTATTTTAAGCTAGCCGCAGTATTAGAAGTCTTTGAAAAAAAGACTATTTGTAGATTGGAAAAAAAAAGTAAATCATTTATTAAGAAGAGACATTTCTTTACATATGAGACATGGCACTTTCAGCTGACTCATTGACATATTTTGTCTCTTAAGAATCAACCTTTTATTACCATCATTATAGAAGAGACATATTTCACCGCATTTGTAGATTGTTAGAATACTGGAAAATTATCCTTTGAAAATATTTTAACAGAAATAAAAAGCTAAGAATGAACAAATTTTTATATGATAATGGAAAGCTGTAAGTTGACAAGCTATACAAGTAAAATAAGGGGGAAAAAAGATAAAAGATAGGCAACGGCATGCACTGACACTGAATAAACTAAAATTCTATACTTTATTTGTAATTAGAGATCTGCCTTTTTCATTTACCTGAGTTGTTAAAGTTAATGATTCTGCTAACGACTACAACAACAAAAATAAATAATAAAATAAACAAACAGATAAAAACTGATGACAGTAAATAAGTTCTCTGAAGGCAAATAATGTCCTGAGTATGGTTAGTAGCATATTACTAAGTGCTAGAATGCAACATCACACAATTCTTGAGCCTGTTCATCTTCTACACCTGATTAAGTGCAGAACAATGAGAGATTGTATTTCCTAGTTATACATCACTTTCTAACAGAGAAATAATGTGAACTGAAAAATAACTCCTGGCATCATGTTAACAACAGAAGTATAATTAGACATGCTGCATGCTGCAATCACATTTTTTCAAAAAGAAAAGAAAAAGTGGAGCAGAAAAAGATCATGGCCTCTTCTCAACAGGATGTGGAGGCACACTTCTTGTGAAACATGTTACCTCGAAACGTGACCACCTCAGAGAAATATCATGAAAGGCTTACTTTGCTTGAACTGATGGACAATTAGCTATTCTATCTATGTGGGTGGGGTTAACCACTGAACTGTGCCCAATATCAGATTAAATGGCAAACGTGCACCCACATTCTAATACTAATCATCATCATGACCATCATGCAAGCAACTATTCAGACTAGGAACAATTAGAAATCTAAACATCGGTCCAAATTCGTGTATTGAGGTTAATTTTCCCTGAGATAGCTTATGATGAAGCTCTGACCCTGTGGAGCATGATTACTTTAGTAAAATAAAATGGAGATCTCTGTAAAAATTTCATTTAAAAAAGAATTGAACCCTCTGATAAACTGAATGATATTTCTATTGAGCAATCAAATTGTCTTTCAAGATATTTGACATGCCATAGAAAATTGGCAAGAATAACTCAGATTCATATTAACGATATAAATGAGAAATTAAAAATAATGTCTAGAAATAGCCTCTTTAATCGAGAATAAGTAAATCAAAGAAATAATAAGAATAAAAAGTTGATGACAGCTGCAAAACAACATGTTGGTTAGTGGGTTGAGAGGGTTAAGCAGGTAACTACATCAACAAATCACAATGGCAGGAGGGTTGGTTAGTGCTGGTTGCCAAGGTTACCACTCTCACCTCCTCCAGTTTGTCTTTGTACTGTGACTCCAAGGAGTGAATTTTCCTTTCCTGGGAGTCCAGCTGAAATGGATCACGAAGCAATTGCTAGACTAAACATATTGTACCCTCAACAGAATACTAATACATACCATTTTAAGGTAAATTTTATATTCAAAATGAGCACTAAAAGTTGGAGCTAAAAATAAAAATAAATAAATCTAAAAAAAATACAAAAATCATTCAAACAAACAATTGTAAGTATCCTTAATGGAAGACTGAGCAATCACACAAGCAGGCACAAACATACAGATGCACTCAAAGTAACTTCCATCCCATATCCAAGCATCACCTTAACATACCTAACCTAACTAGATCTCACATCTAAACTCACCATGCCATAGGCGACTGAAAATTGGTAACAGAGCCAAAACAAGTTTTGTATTTCATTCCGATTTTCATTACCTTGGAGATGGCATCGTCCCTGGCATCCTGTAAGTTAAGCACCTCGTTCCTCAACTTCTGTATGGTGTCGTCCCGGCGCGCCAGCTCCGACTTCAGCACCTCGTGATTATCCTGTCCTGACCGACCGCTTTCTCGCAGCTTGGTCTGAAGCGCACCAATCTGTGGCATAGAAAAAGATCTGAATGAGGTTAAACTGATTACACACACTTTGAGCAGTTTCATGTGAAAATATCAACTTGCACAATCTGTGGCAAATATGTGGGAGAAATAAGGAAAAAGATCTGTAAGATAACTGATTACCTTTTGAGTAGTTTCAAGTTGAAGTATCAATTATCATTTTAAAGAGATTAAAATACAAATAGCCTTTATAGTATTTAAAAATGCTTCTTTAATGATCAAGTGACTAATTATATGCATTGATTGGATAACTTCAATGTGACAAACCAAGGAAACATTTTTCCATTTGGTGAAAAATAGTTATCCAATTGCTTCAAGATATTTTTGAAAATAAGTACAGGGTATTTAAAAACAAAATAGAAAATACATGACAAAAGGTTTCATAAATATGGTTTCTTTAGTGAACATCAAGGGCAACTTTTCTCCAGTTCGCCCCCTCTTCCTTTCTTCACCTCGTCATACACCCTTCTCTTTTGCTCCTGCGAGTCCCTGAGCTCCGTCTCCAATGCACGGATCCTACGCTCATAATGGGAAACCTGGAGGTCACAAATTATTGATGAGTTATTATTAAGTCTGGTTGCAAGCCTGGATATCAGAAATAACTAATTAGTTCATTATGGCCCATAATAAAACCTAGCCAGTTTACCAACATGATTTCCTAACAATGACAATGTATATAAGAACAACGAAAAAGAAACACAAATACACACAACTCACACTCAATCAATTTAATGACCTCAAGTTTATCTAGTTCTCATTTCATCCATAAAGTGTTTATGTCCAAAATTAACGATGCTCTGAAAATTACGGGAGTCATTTTGCCAACCATTTTTTCCTGAATAAGTTATAAAACTTTGCATGTTTTTTTATCGAGTAATGAGCATGCTCTACATATACCACTGTAACAGCTAGATCACCTGCCTTCTGCGGCAAGGCTTATATTTGTCACTCAAGTTAAACACACTCCTGTAAACATGTTCACAATATATTAATCCCACTTAAGATGTTTTAAGTCCACTAATGCCGCTGACAAGTACAGAGTGTTTGCATAAAAGCATGGTGTTAGGTAATCCCATAACGTTTCCTGTTAATTTTAAATTTCCACCTCAGGAAGGGATGCTATATTTTCCCTTTGTTGGTTTGTTTGTTAATAGCTTATGTGCAAAAAGTTATGGACATACAATAAGAAAAATTCAGGATAGGTCAGATTTTGACTGACTTAAAACTGATTAGATTTTGGTGGTGATCTTTTAATCAACTAAATAAAAAAAATAATAATTATAGTGAGAACTGATTTGTCTTGGCAGAGGTCTGTGCTCTGTTAGTGCCTTTGTTATTTTAAATTTTTTTCCAAACACAACCCCTGTGTACTGTTCAACATGGTATGGAATGTATATAATAAATGACTTAGAAGATATCATAGTTATAGGCTTCAGAAGTCAACCCTCCCTCGTTATACTGAAAACAGACATCAACCTATATCAATTAATAGAAGCAAAACATCCATTGCTATCACATTTTCCCCAATTCTAAATATCAGGGATGTGATTTGTGTGTGTGTGTGTGTGTGTGTGTGTGTGTGTGTGTGTGTGTGCACGTGCGTGTGTGTGAGAGGGGAGGAGGGAAGAGAAAAAAATGAAAACTGACAATGTTGCAATTATCCCAGAAAAAAAAAAAAAAAATCAGAAATCAGGAAAAACTGAAAAATCACATCCCTGATATATTGTCACCAAAGGACCTTCCTGTACTTCATTTGAAAGAAGACCTGACTGTCACATGAGATCTTATACAATCTGATCCACACCACATGCCAAGAAAATTAACAAGTGCTATTTTTATCAGTACGTGCGTCAGAGACGTATCACCTTCAAGTGCGGATAGAGCGCATATTGCTACGATTCCAGGAAATATTAGTTTTCATTTAAGGTAGTGCCACTTGGACAGCGAGAGCAATATATCAAATTTCCTTTACAATTCGTGTTTATACACTCCTGAGTTTACACTTGCATCATTTTTTTTTTCACTTCAGCAAATTGGATTTCTGAGATAAAACAGTCTAAAATTGATACAAGTTATAGAACATGGTAATAACTCTTATATTTCAAATACCTAGTTACTAACTTTCTTTTTTTCTTTCTTATAACCTTGGTCAAGGGGACCATTTTTGCTTTTGTTGGTTTGTCAGTTAACAGCTGCACTCAAAAAGTTATAAAGGGATTTTGATAAAATTTTCAGAATAGGTTAAAAAATGAGCTTACTTATAATCTATAAGATTTTGGTGGTTTATCGATTAATCAATAATAATGACAAATGAACTGCCAAAGCATAGGTCTTCACTATCTAATTGCTTTTCCAATACAAAATGTATCTTGTTACATTTATCAGAAAAAGAAAATAAAAGTTTGGTGAATAATTACATCACATTTTGTGTCAGTGGTGACTTGGTCAATGTTTCCATACTTACATCATCATCACTTCGCTTCCTGTCGTCATTTGCACGTCCCAGCTCTGTTCTCAACTGACGGATCAGATCCTCACACCTAGAAACCTGCAAAGACAACAGACAAATACCAGTTAAGAGAGGTATTTTCAAACCTGAAAAAAAAAAAAATTATAATAATGATAATAATAATAAGAAGAAGAAAAGTCTCAAAAGTCCTGAACAAAGAAATCATAACAGAAGAGTTTCATTTATACATCAACCACCACAAGTAGGCAAAACAGAAAAAAAATATTTGGTGATATGGCATGGGCCTTAGGGTCTACAACTACCTGAAATGTTGTTGGAAATTCCCATAACCTTGAGAGGCTAGGAAATAAAAAAAATAATTCCTCAAGACAGAAATATTACATATTACTAGATCTCCCCCCCCCCCCAAAAAAAAGAGAAAATCATACATGTTAGTGACAACAATGCAACATATGGACATAAAACAGAACTCCCCAATCAGGGCACTTCTCAAGCTTACNGGTGTTAGGTAATCCCATAACGTTTCCTGTTAATTTTAAATTTCCACCTCAGGAAAGGATGCTATATTTTCCCTTTGTTGGTTTGTTTGTTAATAGCTTATGTGCAAAAAGTTATGGACATACAATAAGAAAAATTCAGGATAGGTCAGATTTTGACAGACTTAAAACTGATTACATTTTGGTGGTCATCTTTTAATCAACTAAATTAAAAAAAAATAATTATAATGAGAACTGATTTGTCTTGGCAGAGGTCTGTGCTCTGTTAGTGCCTTTGTTATTTTAATTTTTTTCTTTCCGAATACAACCCCTGTGTACTGTTCAACATGGTATGGAATGTATATAATAAATGACTTAGAAGATATCATAGTTATAGGCTTCAGAAGTCAACCCTCCCTCGTTATACTGAAAACAGACATCAACCTATATCAATTAATAGAAGCAAAACATCCATTGCTATCACATTTTCCCCAATTCTAAATATCAGGGATGTGATTTGTGTGTGTGTGTGTGTGTGTGTGTGTGTGTGTGTGTGTTTGTGCACGTGCGTGTGTGTGAGAGGGGAGGAGGGAAGAGAAAAAAATGAAAACTGACAATGTTGCAATTATCCCAGAAAAAAAAAAAAAAAATCAGAAATCAGGAAAAACTGAAAAATCACATCCCTGATATATTGTCACCAAAGGACCTTCCTGTACTTCATTTGAAAGAAGACCTGACTGTCACATGAGATCTTATTCAATCTGATCCACACCACATGCCAAGAAAATTAACAAGTGCTATTTTTATCAGTACGTGCGTCAGAGACGTATCACCTTCAAGTGCGGATAGAGCGCATATTGCTACGATTCCAGGAAATATTAGTTTTCATTTAAGGTAGTGCCACTTGGACAGCGAGAGCAATATATCAAATTTCCTTTACAATTCGTGTTTATACACTCCTGAGTTTACACTTGCATCATTTTTTTTTTCACTTCAGCAAATTGGATTTCTGAGATAAAACAGTCTAAAATTGATACAAGTTATAGAACATGGTAATAACTCTTATATTTCAAATACCTAGTTACTAACTTTCTTTTTTTCTTTCTTATAACCTTGGTCAAGGGGACCATTTTTGCTTTTGTTGGTTTGTCAGTTAACAGCTGCACTCAAAAAGTTATAAAGGGATTTTGATAAAATTTTCAGAATAGGTTAAAAAATGAGCTTACTTATAATCTATAAGATTTTGGTGGTTTATCGATTAATCAATAATAATGACAAATGAACTGCCAAAGCATAGGTCTTCACTATCTAATTGCTTTTCCAATACAAAATGTATCTTGTTACATTTATCAGAAAAAGAAAATAAAAGTTTGGTGAATAATTACATCACATTTTGTGTCAGTGGTGACTTGGTCAATGTTTCCATACTTACATCATCATCACTTCGCTTCCTGTCGTCATTTGCACGTCCCAGCTCTGTTCTCAACTGACGGATCAGATCCTCACACCTAGAAACCTGCAAAGACAACAGACAAATACCAGTTAAGAGAGGTATTTTCAAACCTGAAAAAAAAAAAAATTATAATAATGATAATAATAATAAGAAGAAGAAAAGTCTCAAAAGTCCTGAACAAAGAAATCATAACAGAAGAGTTTCATTTATACATCAACCACCACAAGTAGGCAAAACAGAAAAAAAATATTTGGTGATATGGCATGGGCCTTAGGGTCTACAACTACCTGAAATGTTGTTGGAAATTCCCATAACCTTGAGAGGCTAGGAAATAAAAAAAAAATTCCTCAAGACAGAAACATTACATATTACTAGATCTCCCCCCCCCCAAAAAAAAAAAAAAAAAAAAAAAAAAGAGAAAATTCTACATGTTAGTGACAACAGTGCAACATATGGACATGAAACAGAACTTCCCAATCAGGGCACTTCTCAAGCTTACAGATTTCTTGGTGGTCTTCACATTTTTGTCATATTCCCCCTTCTCCAGTCGGAGGAAATACGAAGCCATCCCCAGTCCTGGGGAGCAGATGTCCCTCTCGTCCAGCACTGTGACCAGACTCTCATCGTCGGTAAAAGTGACATCGTGGTCTGCCTCCTCAAAGCCAGACTCGTCCGTGCTGGCGGTGCAATTCAACAGGTGATCAGAGCCAGACGTGGACGTGGACGAGATTTTTCTTGCTGGTATTTCCACCTCAGTCATGATAGCAGTTACTGGACAGTATTACTGCCTTTCAAAAAATCTGAGTCTCTCTTATCCCAAATTTTTTTAAAAATTGGTAAAATAAACAAATCCAAGCACTGTCTCCGGTTGACAAAGCTTAAGAGTGTAAATCTATTCCAGCTGGAGAAAAAAATCTTGGCAAACAAGGTGCCCTTGAAAAGTAACTAACAAGTCTTGAGAGAAAACCAAAAGCAGAATCTCGCAGAACAGTTTCCTCCTCAAACCATCAGTCTGAACCTCAACTCCTGGCCAAGAATTTCCACAGGGATACTGCACTGGAACTCAAGAGCACAGATGTTGTGGTAGAAGTTCTCTCAGGATCTTGTTCTCTTTAAAGAGTCCACGCCAAAAATCTCATGTCAGGAGACGCTACCCTCGGCGTCTTGTGCAAACAAGCACTAACAACTCGAAGGAGGATTGTTTTCCAAGTCAAACACCCCCACTGAGGTACCAAACAGGCACTTGCGACTCTTACCCCCTTCTCAACACAAAAGCCAAGATCCGCTAAAAACTCTCTTATTATGCTTGACCAATAGATCAAGCCTAATCAGCCATGCTTAAAAGTGTTTGCAACCTACATATTTGTGTTTGTAGTTAAATGTCCACCAACGCTGCCTAATTCAACGAGTTGGTTTATTTGTTGAATCCCTCCCCTGCGTAAACACCGTGGATAATGGAGCATGTTGATGAAGTATTGTATCATTCAAAAGCCACAATTATGGACCATTCACATCTGGTGTTTTATTAAGCTAACTTCGATGTTGGTTTTTTGAGACCTGCGTACAGGTAAGATGTTGTTCCAACAGTGCTTGTGTACACAGGGGGGCTCGCAACAGTAGCATTTGCCTGGTTACGTGGATTGAAGAAATAATAATAATAATATTAAAACTTGGGTTTCAGGTGACGGCACACCTGGATCATGGGTGTTTACACTCATTTTTGCATAATCTGTACTTAAGCCACTTATACTATCCAAACAAACTTTCCTTGTAATGTGTGAAAAGAAATTAAATAATAATAATAGAACACTTTCTATTTTAATGCATAGTTAAAAGTACTCTACCGATCCTTTTCATTGCATATTTTCCTTCTATGGCAATATTGACATATTTGAAGGACTTTTTTCCCTTATTATTTGCTAAAACCACTTGTAATGCAAAAAATGTTCAATATTATCAATTTTGAAATCTGCAATCACAGTACCATTACACAAGTTTCAACAACATTAAAATCATAAAAATTAGACATCTGAGACACTGACACAGGCCTATCTTGGATTATGCACCTAGTGAGCATATGAGAAGGCATGAGAGAGCATAAGAATACACCGATTCTTTATTAAAAATAGGAACAGAGATGAGCAATTGTGAAATAAGGTGAAAACCAATATTAAAAAAAAATAAATAAATAACAGAGCTTGTGAAAAGTTATTTAATATTGTATTCTTAAAAGAAATAATTCAAAGAAAATGAGTGTATGTTTTACGTTTTGGTTGCATAGCATATAAAAATAAAACGGGGGCGTCTCGATAGTCCGAAGGTTCATTGGTCCGAAAAGTGGTAGCATTTTCATCGATTTTTTAATCAAGGGTTCATTGGTCCGAAGGGTCTATAGTGAACATTCGGAGCAATGAACCTTCAGACTATTGAACCTTCGGACTATCCCTACGGCCCCAAATAAAACTATGCATAAATGATATTCAGCTTCAGAAACCTTTCATCTTCGAAATGCTATGATAAGAACTGCAGAAACAAAGCTTACTCAGCTTTTCACCAAATACAAAAAACAAGTAACCTACTTCTTTAGATGTTTCCCGCTGTTTTTCCTGCAGCATCTGTATAGTATGGACTTGGTTGTCACTTTCTGCATCTTTCAGCGTCAGTTCATTGTTGAGATCACGTAGTTGTGCAGTGACATTGTTCATTTTCCTGTCTCTACTCTGAAGCTGGTAAGGAAAAAAAAATCATAAAATCTTATAAATGTCAATGCTGGAAAGAGGTTTATATCAGCTTTTTGTAAAGCAGTTTTCTGCACATGCCCACATGCAAAAAATTGTCTTCACTTTTCAAGGAATCAACAACAATTAACAGCGTTCATTTTGAATTAAAAGTGATGTTATTACTTACTTCATTAATAAGATTTAGTCCAGCAAAAAAAAAAAAAAAAAAAAAAAAAAAAAAAAATTTTTTCATAACTGCCAGTCTAAATGTTTGACTGTTTTTAAAAAGTTTTTAGCAAGCCTGAGTGTACACCTCGAAGTCATCTTTATGTGAAGACATGTTGAGCTATTAAGTTTTCTGATAAACCTGCTGTCTTTCCTCCTTTCACTGCTGCAACTATGTTTACTATAACTTTAAACAATTCATTACAGAAGTACCCCTGAGAAGTACCAAAATAATCTCTCCCCTCTCTCTTTCTCTCTCCCTCCATCAATCCACCTTCTCCCCCCCTTGCCCCCCCCCTCCCTCTCTCTCTCTCTCCACTCACCTCTAAATGCAGCTCGTCCACCCTCTGCTGTGCCACCCTGAGATCTGACTTGAGTTTCATAATACTGATGTCCTTGTCTGTGAGCTGGCTGACCGCCGTCTGCTCTCTGTCCTGGACAGTAGACAGGGAGGACCGGATGGACCCCAGGACAGTGTCCTTTTGAGTGACCTGAAGGGAAAGATACACTGGACATTACATCAAACTGATGGGAAAGCTGATAAGAATAGGGGAAAAGAACACAGAATCACTTTATAATCATTGTGATTTAACAAAAGCTAAATAAAAATCTCTTACTAATGAGTTCTCAAGTAACTAGAGACATCAGATCTTCATTTTTCTATGAGAGTTCATCTAAAAAGTTACTGAACTTAGTCTTTGCAAGTCAATAACAACAGTGACCACTGGTCAAAATAACAACCGTTACAACTGGCCAATATAGCAATGGTGACCACTGGTCAATGTAACAACGGTTACAACTGGTCAATATAATAACAGTGACCACTGGTCAAAATATCAACGGTGACCACTGGCCAATATAACAATGGTGACCACTGGTCAATATAACAATGGTGACCACTGGTCAATATAACGACAGTGACCACTTGCCAATATAACACTGGTGACCACTGGCCAATATAACACTGGTGACCACTGGTTAATATAACAACAATGACCACTGGCCAATATAACAATGGTGACCACTGGCCAATATAACAGCGGTGACCACTGGTCAATATAACAATGGTGACCACTGGTCAATATAGCAACGGTGACCACTGGCCAATATAACAGCGGTGACCACTGGCCAATATAACAACAGTGACCACTGGCCAATATAACAACAGATACAACTGGCCAATATAACAACGGTGACAATTGGTCAATATAACAACAGTGGCCACTGGCCAATATAACAACGATGACAACCACTCAATATAACAGTGGTGACCACTGGCCAATATAGCAACACAGACCACTGGTCAATATAACAATGGTGACCACTTGCCAATATAACAACAGTGACCACTGGTTAACATAACAACAGTGACCACTGGTCATTTGTCAAGTCCCCAAACTGACCTGGTTCACAGTGGTCCTGTGTTCCGTTTGCACCTTCCTGAGCTCCTTCTGTAAGCGCTCTATTAAGTCGTCCCTGGCACGCAGCTGCTGCTTTAGGTCTTCCACATGGCCCTCTAGCACCTCCTCCGAAGATTTCCTGGAATATGGAGAGCAACTCATGAAAACGGCATTGCTAACTTGGAATTATGGCAATTAGATCTTTTACTTATTATTTTGTCATGGTTGGTTGATACTAGTCTTGTTTTTGTAACATTTCTGAAGGCCCATACCAAATTGCTGCTCATTTTATAACAGACTGATTTCTCAACTGATCCAAGCTAAGTGTGAAAATGACTCCATACGACAATATTTAATCATCTATTTCAATCTAGAGCAAATGTGGCTTTATTATGACTAAAATTTTCACTTTATTTCAGTCTTGTGTGAACGCCATTGACAATACTTCTCAGTTTATTTCATTCTAGTGTGAACAGAGCTTTAAACCACTATTCATCAGTTTATTTCAGCACAGTGTGAATTTCTCTCTTCCTGTTACTCACGTTTTCTCTATCTCTTCCCACGGCCCAAACACTTGGTCAAAGGTTACTTCTTTGAAGACTAGATCATCTATCTGGAAATGAACAGAAAATAACCAGTAATGCATTTTACCAAATATCATTCTGGGCCCTTTCACTTTAAAAATGAATCATTTAAACCTAATTGCTGGATAGTTTGGTTTGAATAAAATGGTGAAGCTCGTCAGTGATAATTAAAAACATTCACATCTTGATCAGCTGAATTGCAATATCTCTATCATATAGATATAATTTAACATACTACAATGAGTCCAGCCATTCTAGTGATCATAGACATGATATTATTTTATTACGGATAATCTCTGGGATCACAATGGCATATAGCATCTTCTTTACATACAACTTGAGCTAGTGATCCAAGAATCAAAGTTTCAGAAGAAAATACCTGAAATTATACTTTAAAGATCTGATTCAGCACTTTCATAGGACAACTTTTCTCAATTAAGCTACTAGTTTTTATTTTCAGAAAGAATATATTTTTCCAGTGAACAACAGTTTGTTCATATGGGAGAATACATAGATAGATCAAATTGATGAAAATGAATAATTTCATCTTCTCATGGTGGCTGATAATCCAAGACGTCAGCAATCAAACTGCAAGTATTAATCTATCTGATCCACAGTGCATCACAATGAACATAAAATGTCACTCTTGTCAAGTAGATCATATATCTGCAGGCGGTGATATTTCTCACCTGAAAACCAAATGGTCACACCATCCACAGTGTTAATGACTTTCTGTTGTATAACAAGAGCTTCATTTAGTTTCCTTATTAACACCTTAAGACCTTGATAAATATTCTACTTCTCATCAGATTACGAAAGCATCACTGTTAACTAAGCCAGGCTACTGAGACCTAAGGCTTCGTTCACATGCAATGTCTATTTTCTAAATTCTATTTTCTATTCGTGGTATGTCTTATGATCATGGTCTGTGCACTGAATATCCCGCGGCGTAATTACTGGCAGCGCGAGCCAGTTACTATAAGTTACTTTAAGTAACTGGCTCGCGCTGCCAGTAATTACGCCGCGGGATATTCAGGGCACACACCATGATCATAAGATACCGCGAATAGAAAATAGAATTTAGAAAATAGACATTCCATGTGAACGAAGCCTAAGTCTTAGCACAATTAACACTGGGAAGAAACTAAACATAAAAGGATTCAGAAACTGCACTTAAATTTACATGGCAAGCAACATATGACAGTGTCAGATGTATGTTTTATGGAGATCAGCGTAATCAAAGGCTATTATCAATACTGCTAAATACTGCTAAATATTGCTATTGTATGATCTAGTGTCTACGGAAATGTCACAAAAAAAGCTTTGTCTCCACTGTAAATGGATATTTATGGAGAGAGAGAGAAAGCAAAGTATAAAATGACACAGGTTAAAAGTCAGATACAAAACTGGTGGCCTAAAGAGAAGGTACTGGTTAATTGTAGCAAAAATGATGCAAATACACACACACAAACACACACACTGGTGCAAGATGGATACTTCTTTTATCTAACTTTTCAAATGTCTGTACATGCATGAACAAGTGAGAGATCTTTGGTATAGGAGCTGTCACTTGAATCATAAAACACAATGAAGAATTTAAGGCTGTCCTATTGAACCTACCTCCCACCCTTAGGTTGTCCTGATAATTCCTGTGCAAAACCTACCTACCTACCTACCACCCTCAGGTTGTCCTGGTAAATCTTGTGCAGAACCTACCTACCACCCTTAGGTTGTCCTGGTAAAGCCCGTGCAAAACCTACCTCCCACCCTTAGGTTGTCCTGATAATTCCTGTGCAGAACCCACCTTTCCACTGTGCTGTCATATGCTACACAGTATCAACCCTCCAACCTACTGTACCACTGTCCTGGCAAATCCTAGCCAGAACCTACCCCCTAGCCTTATGTTGACAGTACCCGGAGTACCTACCCTTCATTTTTCAAACCGCCTATGCAGTACCCACCTCTAACCCTTAATCTTGTACAAACTTACCTCCCACCCTCCTGTTGTCCTAGCAAATCCAATGACATTAATGAGCGTGTTGATGTCATGCAGCAGGTTGGCGTTCTTGTCACGCAAGACGGCATTTTCAGATTCACATCTGTCAAGTGTCTCTTGAAGGTCCTGAAAGACACATAAAAATGATCATGCAATTTATCCCTTTTTTTTTTCAAAAATGATTACTAGAGTTCACATCTGTACCAAATAGATATCTAGTAGTACTATCTTAATTAGTGTATTCATATTTTGAACTGCATTTTTTTTTTTTTGTTCTCCAAACTAACCACTTGGATAATCAAATATAGTAATATCACGTTTTTTTCCTACTGATCAAAAGGTAACACTTAACCATCTGTTCCTTATATATAGAAAGACAGCTTAAAGAGCGCTCAGTACAACTCACTTCTATAACATTATCTGATTTTTCTTTCTCAACAGCCACTGCCCTCATCTCTCTCTCATAATCTTTAGCCTTTCCCATGTATTCCTGAAACAAATAAAATCTAATGTCAGAAGTGATATAATATACACAGAAACGTTAGTCTCACCACCCTGGGTCTTTCCAGAAATATTTACTTGATTTGGTCCCTTTATTTTCCAGTAAATTTGGTATAAGTGGTAGTTATTGTTGTTGCTGGTGTGTTCATTGATATGGCAGTCACAGTGATGCATACACAGTTCAGTATTAGGGAATAGTTTCAAAATGTTGCTTTCTATGAACTGGCCAAACTGATACCTAGGTTCGACCCTGTTAACTTTGTGCCATCGTTTATCTGTCAAACCACCCCATACCAGTGAATTAATTGTGGTTCAACAAGTAAATGATATTTACTTAAAAATTAAAATGCTACATAGTTTCAATTATTTATTACTAACAAAATATTTTGAATGAAAATTAATCCACATTGCTCAAATTTATTAAGTAATTACATTCCCCTAAAATCAAAATCATTACCTTGGTATTAATTTTTCTCTCTCTCTCTCCTCTACCCCCGTTTACACTCACAGCACCCCCCCCCCCCCCCGCCCTTTCTACCCTGGGGGAACAGTTGCACCCTTCTCCTCACTCGTACCAAAATTACCTACAATAGCCAATTTTAAGTGTCAGCACTTCAAAAGCACTTCTAAAATGTGTTCTAGTTTGGTCAATAAGAATTCATTTCAGACAAAGGGCCAATGACCATTATAACCTAGGGAATGAATTATCTGAAATATTACCCCTCCGTTGATGCCAGTTTCCACCTGATCTTGCCAGCGCACTTTCTTTGGTGTGCTGGTCACCTTGGGGTCCAATATCCCATGGCTATTCATTGTAAAAAGAATCTAGGGTGCTGCAGACCCCTCTTGCCTAGATTTCCTTAACAGCTTTGGAATCAACTTTCTTACTAAATGAACTGCATTATTCATTGGCATCTGTTCCAGCTCTAATTTTAGTACTTAGTACATTAGGACTTCATTTCTGAGTAAATTAACATCAAATTGTGCAAATTATTATTTTAAGACCAAAGGCCAATGACCATTATTAACTAGATAATGAATTATCTGAAATATTACCCCTTCATGGATGCCAGTTTCCACCTGATCTTGCCAGCGCACTTTCTTTGGCGTGCTGGTCGCCTTAGGGTGCAATATCCCATGGCTATACATTGTACAAAGTGTCAAGGGTGCCACAGGCCCCGTTTCCTTGGTGTCTTTTTCTCTCTAGAATTCCTGAACTTCTTTGGAATCGGTTCTTACAATTTTTAAGTGAATTGCATACTTCATCAGCATCTGTTTCAGTACTCTGTACATCAGGACATCATTTTCTGAGCAAACTGACACCACATTGTGCAAAATATGAGGGCAATTACTGCCTGCCTGTTCTTGGAGCCCTGTGCATATTATATAATAAAGCAAAACCGCATACAGAACTTAGTTACAGAGCACACATTTCTCAAATCCTTTATGTTTAACCATAAAAAAAAAACATTGATCCAAATATTTTCTACATCCTGATTATGACCTATACACGGTATTCAATATTTGAATACTGTACAAACGAAACATTGGTGACAGACTTAAATCAGTCTCTACAGCAAACCAGCATTGCAGTCTGTAAATTTTTTCTCATGAACAGGAGAATCTTAAAACTTTTCTGATGGATCTCATCCCGACAAATTGTACAGTGTCAATCCTTATGTTCACCATGAGAGCATTCCGGTTACTAACTTAGCATCCTTAACCAGCTGTCCTCAAGGGGTTGGAGAGGAATAGCATCCAAAAATTGTGGCACCTCAAATAATAATCCTGCCTCCTTCTTACAAGTCATGAGCGGCAAACACAGTAACAGTTCCTGCCTTTTTGTGCGGAAAACTGTTTCAAATTAATCAGTATACAATTACCGAGGGGCCCTATAAATCCAGTGCACGTAAATTGACTGGTCCAATTTGTTTATTCTTCGGATAAAGACGCTTTGATTGTGGACCCAATTCATACGAGTTTATGATTCAGGAATTTATTTCTTCTTTTATCACAATTTTGTAAACATTGCTCTCTCTCTGTGTTTGTTTGTGTATTACATGAAATAAAAGAAATCAGCACAAGAAGTAAACTAGAGAACAAAGGTCTGCTGCTTACTCTGGGAAGAAGCGGCAAATTTAATGCTGCTGTTTCCAGAATGAATGAGTTATGGGGTAGTAAAATGGAAAGGAGGTGACATGAGAATGATTTTCAGTTTAAATTGTGCTCATATAATACAAGGTAATGCAAATAACCGGTTTCTCACAGAAGAAATTGCCGTCAAATCACACCTTCCAACTCATCATATCTCTCACATTTATGATTTGAATTTCAAATAATTATTTTGGTGTCCGTGTCAAGAATCATTTTGAATGGAGTTTTATTTTATTTGTCAGTTTTCAACGGAATACATATCTGCAGTGACAAGACAGGAACTGAATGCTAAATATGAAGAACTTTTAGCTTGCATAACCATGATCTGGCCTTGGTACATTATCACACAAATTTTACTTATTAGTAAGTCAAAACTGAGTTAAAACAATACTATTATCAATTTGTTAAGCATATTCCATTTTTAGACATTAAAATTATCTTCAGAATATGTCAAAATTTATACAATCTTATCTGCTTAGACAATTGAAACATGTATCCTGAACCTTGGTAATTGTGCACAGAAATAGGATGAGACCATCTAAATGACAGAAGTAAGGTATTTCACAGTTGATAAATAACCCACTCGATCAATTACTGGAAAGCTGAAAACTTTGAAGAACAGTTGTACATTCATACCAGCAGTTATGAAAAAATTGCCAGACTGATGGACTATTTTCAGGACTGGGCTCCATAACTCGAAAGCATCCCAAATTGCCACCGAGTTCAAGCGTCTCTATTCCATAACTCGGGGATTTACTCGCCCCATATAAGAGCCTTGAAATGAAAGGTGATATTGCTATTCGCAATTCGCGATGTTTTCAAGTTACGGAGCCCTGATTGTAAATTCAAAATGGCAGCTCTTTGAACTATTGCTGGTCCTTAAGACTGACTAAAAGTAAAATTGTAGTGGTCCTCGAAAATTTTAAAGGCCCTGACTGGTCTGATCAGTACTATTAGTTTCATGATGTCTGCAATAAGGCTTCGTTCACATGCAATGTCTATTTTCTAAATTCTATTTTCTATTTTTGGTATGTCTTATGATCACGGTCTGTGCACTGAATATCCCGCCGCGTAATTACTGGCAGCGCGAGCCAGTTACTTATAGTAACTTATAGTAACTGGCTCGCGCTGCTAGTAATTACGCGGCGGGATATTCAGTGCACAGACCGTGATCATAAGACATGCCGCAAATAGAAAATAGAATTTAGAAAATAGACATATTGCATGTGAACGAAGCCTAAGAGCATTTGCATGGAAAACAAAAAACAGACGGATCAAGACTAAAACCATGTGTACCGCCAGGGTCTACAATGAAACTCACCCTAAGAAATCTAGTATGAACTTTCCCACAATATCTGCCCATCTCTTCTTCTGCAGCAGAGTGTAGGATTGTTTTAGAATCTATTCTGCAGTAGGCTATACGTTTTTTGTCTACGATCATCCAAATAAACACATCAGGAATGCTATGCTGTGGCTGGAAGATTGTAATAAACAAAATAAACTGTTCAATACAAATAAAATGTAGCAGTAATGCCACTAATTTAATCATGTTTCAAAATATTTGGTAACTTTAGATTTTTTTCATAAAGTTGTAATATCCACTGGGTTATACATTTGTGTTTTATAACTATGTATATAGAAAACAAGCCTACAAAAAAAGTAGAACATTTATCATCAAAGGTGTGACACTTAAAATCAGAGGCATGTCATAGGTTAATTCAAAATGATTGGCAAATATAATAAGCTGACCCTTAAAACAACATTACATACCTCTTCTGAAATGTCCTTGACTTTCTTCAACATCTGTTTGGATTTCTTCATAGCTTCTAAAACTTTTTCAGTGTCTTCAACTGATTTGATACCTGCCTTGAGTTGCCTTGCCTCTGTTCCAAATTTACTCTAAATCACAACAGCAATTATCATCATTCTATTACTTAACTGATTCTTAAAAATCAGGGAGCAATTGAGATATTTTGAACAGATTGATGAGAATATACACAGTGATTACAACAATGAAAATAGAAGGCAATATTTTTCAAACATCAATAAATTACAAAAATTTAGTAACTAAAGCATTATTCAAGTATCACATACAATCTTTCTTTCCAGCATTTTCAGTCTTTCCTTGTCTAATTTGGTTTTTCCCGATGTTGCTCTTGCTGCCTGTCCATGGATAGAGTTACAAAACTGGCTACAGCTGTTAGCAAAATGACTCAGAGCACGGCGCATACGTTTGCCCCCTGGTTCTTCATGGTCCAGGAGATGCTGAACCTCTTTCAGTTCATCTTCCTAAAGTAATTACAATAAAAGAAAAAAAATGCAATCAAAGTGAAATAAAATAAGGGAAAAATCATGTTTATTTCTAAAAGATTTCTGTTGAATCAGTATTCTGCATAAATAAATAAATATATATCAATCACTGCAGCTCTTATAACAATATCGAGCATCATGATGCCATTTTCATGCTGAAACATAATTTTTTCATAAATATTTTGTTCCAAAGTAAGTGATTACTATCACAAAAAATATCACTAGATAGAAAAATTATCTTAAAACCATGAAAAATCTAATAAATAATATAAAATCCATCTTAAATATAATAATTTCCTCACTAGAGATTCCACCATTGCATTCAGAACATTAGTGCGCTGTAACCTCTGTCGCTGGTCTTCAAATCTGGTTTTAGCATACAAACACGGCTTTTTCTCATGAAAGGGTATGTGGTAGTAATTTTTCCCTCTACTATGGGGTTTCATTGGTGGTGTCTGGTTGAGCACCATTTCCTCAGTCTCCTGTTGAGGTTCTTCTTGTGCATGTTCATCCAGAGATGTGTGTCTGTAGAAATGTTTTCCATCTATGGAATTGCCATAGTTACCTGTTCAATAAATACAGCAGTCATTGTGAATTACAATCAATAAATACAATAAGTAATATAAATCAATCTTTTTACACAAGTTTTTCAAAGGTAATAATTCTTAAAATTAACTATTTCAAAAATAATTAAACAAGTAATAAATATAATGATTTAAGTTTTGTGAGACCCTGACTTACCCATACTTAGTTCAAATGAAACAAACTTGTCTGCAAACTTCTTATCAATCATTGTTGCTTCCAAAATAGTACCCCAGAGAAAGTATTCCATTTTAACACCTGCTGCATTCTGAAAAATAAGATGGGAGGATTGATGAGGATGAAGTAAGTTCATTTCCAAAATTTCTTATTTCATCTGATCTGACCTTTAAAACCTGTTACTATATGTAATAATAAACTACAGAAGCACATAACAGCAAAACTTAATAGTTTTTATATACACTAACCCCCATTAAATTCACAAATTATTCTTAGATTAATTTATCCCAACTACGTACCATATCATATATTGTTTAACAGTTATTGGTAAGCATAAAACTTACCTCAGAAATTGGCATTGTAGCTTCACGTGTCACTTGCAATGGACTGGACTCCGAATTTCCTAGGATTTCAACTTTCACTGCAATAAGCAGGCGCCCCCTATAGGCAACACCTTCACCTATCCCATCATTCAAGTAGTCATGGCTGTCAGTGAGCATGTAACCCCTGGGAGAGCCATACAGATTGACCCAGCATGGACCAAATGTGTGCATGAACCCTGTGGATAGATAAGTTTGATGAACTTAAAAAGTTAAACTATGACCTTAATGACCAATCAAGCTTATATTATAAATAAGAAGAAAAATATATCAACTTTTGGTCACAAAAATCACTCCTTACAAAGCCCAAAAATCAAAATTTCTGGCCATTTGAATTACCACAAAGTACCACCAACTGCTCATAAGAGTTTCATAAGTTAGAAAACATGAATATGTTATACCAAACTAAAACTATGCATGGTTTCATGTCTGGGGATATTTCCACTATATACGAGTTGACACTTAAGTTAAAAAAATTCCTTATATGTACTGTAAGTTGCAAAAAAAATGCAACCTGGTCTTCAACTCCTATCCTACCTTTGGCTCCCCTGCTTGATATATGGTTCATATTAACATAGTGTGTCCCTATCACAGAGTCCAGGACCATGTCATCATCCCGCAGCTGAACCTTAATCCTCTGGCAGAGAGGGGGGAACAGATCCGTGAACACCACCTGCTCATTCCAAGCAGGGTCATAGGTAGACTTGTCTGCAGAAGTACGGCCCTGTTAAATTTAATGTGTTTAAACTTTAAGGTTATGGTTGCATGGTGATGGCATTTTGCTGCTGAAGAGTTTTATGTTAGATGATGAAAACATGTGGTTGTAAAGTTGTCATGATGCTGGCCAGGTACATTGCAAGATGCCGACTGAACTGATTTAACAATGGCACAAGCATGTCAACAAACACAAATACATGAAACAAAAATTTATAAAATATGAAAAAAAAATGGAATTCCCTTTTTCTAAATCATTTTTTAAACATCAACTGAAATTGTTTAATAAGGTGTTTTTTCTTTTCTTTTTTTTTTTTCATTCACAAACTTATTTTCAAACTAAATCCCAGGTAAAAATGATAAATTGATCTTTTTAATTAAATTAAGTACACTATTTAAGACAAGTAAGCAAACATGACATATCACAACCAAAATTATTATTATATGGAGTACTTACTGTTTGTCCAGCAAATGAGACCTGAACATAAGGACTAACTGAGGGCCTGTCATCTCCAGTCATGGCTTTCTTCACATTAGCCATCAACCCAGACTTCATCCTAGGTAAGTCTTCTGCCTTATAGATTCTCACCTGGTACGAAGCACGGTGGCGAACCTCTGGAATACCTCTAGGGAGCAACAGGTTCCTGAAATATTTCAGGGTATTACAGAGGAATTCCACATAATCAAATGTAATATAATGGCTTGTAATTTAATTGATTGTACACTCATAATGTCTTCTGTTTTAAAGACTTCAAGAAACCTTTCAATCATTTTTAATTTTAAAGGGCAATATCAAACTAATTTAAAAGGTCAGATTCTTACTTTTCATCTTTTTGAAAGACAAAAATGTGTTCTTACTGCTGAATGTTTTCTGTATCAGACTTCTTTGACAACAGCTCCTGCAAGTTAAAACATTGTATCAAAACAGCTGCATCGATTTGAATATTAAAAAAAAAAAACATCCATTGTCTCCAAGGAAAAATATTAGATAAAATACAACTTGGTCTTGCATAAAAAGGGATAATGTTGATAAATATACAAATTTAACTAAGTATGTTTTTGTTAATTTACAAAATCTGTCCTCTTGAATACTGGATGATATCATACACATTTTAGTGACTCCACAAAACACCGACTTATAAAAAACAGGTTTCAAAGCCAATGCTGCAAAAGCAAAGCATATAGGACACAAGTGGCTTACAAGCAGTTCTATACAACATAAGGGTGTCCAGAGGGGAAATAAACTCACAGAAGTAATGCAATAAAATAAACTCACGGAAGTAATGCATTAGCTTGTATTTTTTTATCTATAAATAGTAACATATACTTTCCAAAAGTCCAATTATAAATATAGTGTTCAAGTCCAGTGTCTTACTTAAGGGCAAAAACTGCAGTTTTCAGTTTTGGGGTTTTCTCTGGCACAAGGACAGTTATCAATATAATCTAAATAGCAATGTAAAGCTAGGTTCAAGCACCACTGTAACAATAAGGTATCTTATAATTTTCCTAACTTACTTGCTTCTCATTCCATCAGCTTTCTTCTGCAAATAGCCCATTATATATATAACAGACTGTTCATGTCAAAGGGGGATAACTTACAAACAATTTTAATTTCCAAAAAAACCTTTTGTACTGTAGTCCACATACTTCTTAATGAGCAGGGAGATATTCTCCCCTCTAGATCCCTTAAATTATTATTAGAACCATGATACTCACCTCCTCTGACATACCCTCTCTCTTTGTGTCCTTTCCATACTGTAGGTACATGGGTAAAAGGGTCAGAAAAGTGCAAAAAAATGTGACATGTGCAAATTAGAAAACAATATCCTAGGATTATTTTCACAAAAAAAAATTATAAATATATATATGTAGACCAAAAGTAAGAGTAAACTTTAAGACCAAAATTTTAGTCTACTTGACTTGATTTAGTTGCATATATATATATATATATATATATATATATATATATATATATATATATATATATATCCACTAAAATCGGGGAAACCACGTATAGGCTTAAAACATAAGCCATCATGCCTTTCTTGTTATATAACAGACACAACATTGTATCTAGTCAGTCTACTACCGATTTATATTGGGTCAAAGTAGACAGTAACATTTTGGTCTGAGAGTTTAGACTAACTTTTTGGCCCAAGTTCTTTTGTGAAAGAAACCCTCTGATCATTTTGTTGTCATGTTAGACAAGCTTTGATTTCACACTGCAAGTTAGACACACAAGGCAAGTTACTCATTTTTTCCACATAATTTGTTCAGCTTTTGGACTAGGACTG